AATCCCCAACTTCTCAAATTACCTCGAGCTCCGAAAATCCTCATCCAATTTCTCAATCCTCTCCACCAAATTATCCGTAGAACCACCCGACCTCAAAAAACCCAAAGAAAGTCTCCTCCACTGCCTTATCCTAATCACAGCCCCAATCAAACGATCTGGTACGAGAGGGAGGGCAGGAAACACTCTAGTTCGCAGGGGAGGGGAAAAGAGAGAATAGCGAGGAAGAGAGAGAGAGAGAGAGAGAGAGAGTATTGTGTGTGTCGATTGAAATAAACAAAGAGGGAGAGATGGGGAAAGTGAGGAGGGAAAAAGGGTTGGGTAATGGATGTCGATTTCGATAGGTAGGATTTTTTTTTTTAAAAGTGCCAAAAATGACATTGCTTTGATTTTTTAAAAAATTATATTTTGCGACAAAATAAAAACGTCGCACTAAATTTTGAAAATATTTTTTGTGACGTAAATAATAAAACGTTGCAATTTAATATTTTTATTTTATTTTAAATTTAAATATGGTTGTAATTTATATTCTGCGACGAAAATAAAAGCGTCGTAATAAATTTCGAAAATATTTTTTGTGACGTAAATAATAAAACGTTGCAATTTAATATTTTTATTTTATTTTAACTTTAAATATGGTTGTAATTTATATTCTGCGACGAAAATAAAAGCGTCGTAATAAATTTCAAAAATATTTTTTGTGACGTAAATAATAAAACGTCGCAATTTATTATTTTTATTTTATTTTAACTTTAAATATGGTTGTAATTTATATTCCGCGATGAAAATAAAAACGTCATAATAAATTTCGAAAATATTTTTTGTGACGTAAATAATAAAATGTAGCAATTTAATATTTTTATTTTATTTTTAACTTTAAATGTGATTGTAATTTATTTTCAGCGACAAAAATAAAAACGTTGAAATAAATTTCGAAAATATTTTTTGTGACGTAAATAATAAAACATTGCAATTTAATATTTTTATTTTATTTTAACTTTAAATGTGGTTGTAATTTATATTCTGTGATTAAAATAAAAACGTTACTAATTAATTTTTTATTTTATTTTATTTTAATTTTTGATTATTTATTTTTGCAACAAAAAAAAATTGTTGTAAAAGATATTTTCATTTCCAGCCATCGCTCGCGCCAAATAAAAAAGGAGGGACTCACAATTTTTTGCGACAAAATTAAAAAATTTCGCAAAAAAATTTACCGTAATAATTATTTGTAACAAATTTATCAAATCCTCGCAAATAGTATTATTTTGCGACGTTTTCAAATTCATCGCAAAAAATAACGTCGCAAAAATGATTTTGTTGTAGTGCGATTTACGAGTCATTATTTTTAATACCTAAAATGGGTATTAAATATCAATTATATGATTTAATACATATTACTCATTTTGGTTGTGCCACCTTGTCAGTTACCAACTATATCATAATATAAACATTAAATCAAAATAATGATGTTGCACAAACAATTATTTTAATATCATAAGATACTGGATATTAAAATCAATTATATGATTTGATATCTATGAATCATTCTAGTTGGATCACTATAGTTACTATCAAACTGTATCGTNAACTATATCATAATATAAACATTAAATCAAAATAATGATGTTGCACAAACAATTATTTTAATATCATAAGATACTGGATATTAAAATCAATTATATGATTTGATATCTATGAATCATTCTAGTTGAATCACTGTAGTTACTACCAAACTGTATCATNAATAATGATGTTGCACAAACAATTATTTTAATATCATAAGATACTGGATATTAAAATCAATTATATGATTTGATATCTATGAATCATTCTAGTTGGATCACTATAGTTACTATCAAACTGTATCGTAATATAAATCTCAAATAAAAAAGATGACATTGTATAAACTATTATTTTAATATCTCAATAATGGATATTAAATATCAGTAATATGATTTAATATCTATATGTCATTCTAGTTGAGCCACTTTGGTGTCTACCAAACTATAGCCTAATATAGATAACAAATCAAAATCAAGGCTTTGTATAAATTATCAGATCGATGATAGCTAATTACTAATAATTGATCATTATGAGAGNTAAATATCAGTAATATGATTTAATATCTATATGTCATTCTAGTTGAGCCACTTTGGTGTCTACCAAACTATAGCCTAATATAGATAACAAATCAAAATCAAGACTTTGTATAAATTATCAGATCGATGACAGCTAATTACTAATAATTGATCATTATGAGAGACAAGATTATTCATGAGACTAAATAGAAATAAATAGCCTAAATCACATTCTTGAGTATTGCATAGGATAACATCAATCTAACCAATATATCTTTGGCATTTGACATTATGGATAATAATAGTCATGCTAAAAATATTATAAATACCAATTTCTATTCAATCGTGCTAAGTCACTAGTAGATGATTTAAATTGAAATTTATTACTATCACGTCATTAGTACATATGTGAACTCTCAAACTATGTCATGTGGCCACAAATACTTTTATAACGACCACAATGACTACACGAAAAGAGAGTGATTAATGGGCATAGCAATATGCATGAAATTGCATGTTGATTAAGTCTTTTATGATGCTGCACCATTGACAGTTATGGCAAAGACCAGTTTATTCAATTCAAGAATTGAATGGCACATAATACAATGAAAATATAGAACTTTCATGATCCACAATAAATATAGGCAATAGTAATCATACTACTGTAAAGCAAGAATTGCAAAGCCATTCATGTTCACGATATGGACCAATTTGAAACGCATTATGAGATTCATCTTTGCTCCGATAACAACACCAACCATTTAGTTACGAAATCTAAGAAGTTGAGTAATTATAATAATAATTATTATTATTTTTAAAGAAAAATCATGAGNTTGCTCCGATAACAACACCAACCATTTAGTTACGAAATCTAAGAAGTTGAGTAATAATAATAATAATTATTATTATTTTTAAAGAAAAATCGTGAGAGTTCTTAACTCAGGTTCTGATACCACAAGTAAACTTTGTTTGATCAAATAAATCAAACAAACCTTAATTTTTTTTTGAAACAATCAAACCCTAATTTCGATGTCTAGAACAATCATGATTTTTATATACTCATAATATTCATAATGTAGAATTAAAAACATCATAATCAACATAACTAGAGCCATTATTGCAAATCTTAAATTACTTGATCTAGAATTGAAGCCCGGAAATTAGTTTCTCTCTTCTGACCTTTATTCTTAGGATACACAACTCGATGAGACATGTGTATATTTATAGGTAGAGAGAGGACCAATTTTTTAGTTCAACATAAACTCCACTTCCCATCAAAATAGGATATCAAAAAACCACTTTTCTCATTGACCAATTAGAAACTATTAGTCATACCGATTGGATTAAAATTAGTAATTTTATTATTATCTAACCCAAATTAATTATCTTATAATACTTAGTAAAATGACATGTGCCAAATCATATGGGTCACATTATTTCTTACAAGATATATATGGTTTAGGTGACAATATCGTTGCAAATTAATCCAGTTTAATCTTTAACCAACTTGATAAAGTCATCTAGGTTTTTTCCTCCAGTGATAGAAAATGATGGCATTTGCCTTGATAATCCCAAGTTTCCCAGTACACTATCTCGCGACGTGATAAGCAATTAGAGAAATGTNCAATGATGGCATTTGCCTTGATAATCCCAAGTTTCCCAGTACACTATCTCGCGACGTGATAAACATTAGAGAAATGTTATCGAAATTTAATTTGCTTACCTAATTTATTATAGTTATTGAATTGATCATCAGTCTTATCAAATATTAAAATTTGATATTAATATAACGGTTACAATGAATTAACATCATTAGGTCAACAAATTATGTCAGATATTTAAATCTAAATAACATTATTCTAAACATTAATATTGATTGAAGTCGCAACTTTGGCATTGAATGAATAATGCTAAATTGANTCAGATATTTAAATCTAAATAACATTATTCTAAACATTAATATTGATTGAAGTCGCAACTTTGGCATTGAATGAATAATGCTAAATTGACAAAAAATGTGACCAAGATGATATGCCACTCATATGGTACTAATATGACAATGATTTTATTTATACTTTATTCATTTAAAACTGGCAACGCCGGATACAATGCACAGTATTTTCAATCTCTTACTATCTCTTGTCAATGCCACCTCGACCCTCGATTGCCATCTCTAATCGCACCCCCACCCTCTATTGCCACCTCTCATCACAATCCCACTCCAACCCTTGTATTTTTTAAGGTGAATGAAACGTTATCTTCACATGCAGCTTGCCCATTTTTCTCAAATCATTATCGTTTTTTTGCAGTCTAACTGTATATTTTACCATAGTCTAACCCAGAGCCAGGCTCATCAGTTTACTACTGCTACAACAATGGCAAGGCTTAGCGTCGGTGGCTCTGACTTTGTCCTCCACATTAATGGGGATTAAATCCCCTCGAGACTGAAAAAAATGCAGAACAATAGCCATGGCCAGTTTTGGTTCAAAATTTTGGTGCAATATATAAGAGTTGTCAAAAAGATTTTAATATATGTGCAGATTAATACCATGCATTCATGGTTGTAGCCATCCATGCAGCATGTAATAAGACAGATGATGGGCCATCCAGTATTGCATGGTGTGACTATGTGTCGGTAGGGGTTGACCATTCTAAATCTACAATGAGTTATACAAGTCCAAGTCTCTTTTTTGACTTATAAATTACTCTTTCTCTCTCTCTGTCATTTAATGTTCCCGCCACTTCCCCAACGGTTCTAACGCGTCACATAACCATGCAAATTGTACACCATTAATGGCTACGTAGTGGACTTGTGTAAAATCCTCATAGTGGCTGAACTCTATATAATTAGAAGGTTTTGAGTGAAGAAGAGAGCAAGTTAAGTACTGAGCTGAGAACCATTTATAGTTTAGCTAGCTAGTCATGGGTTTCTCTCAGAAATGGGTGTGTGTGTTTCTTCTTCTCTTGAGCCTTGTCTTCCACTTGAGTGCTATCACTCTTGGAGATGACAAGGTTGAGAAAGCTAGATGGGGTGATGATGATTGTGGTCGCTTTGGTCGAAGAGGCTGCGGTGGTGGTCGTTTTGGGGGTGGTAGGGGTGGTGGTGGAGGGTTTGGTGGAGGTGGAGGTGGAGGTAGAGGGGGTGGAGGTGGAGGTGGTTTAGGAGGTGGAGGAGGTGTTGGGGGAGGAGCTGGAGGTGGTGTAGGAGGAGGAGGAGGGCTTGGGGGTGGTGGAGGTGGAGGAGTTGGGGGTGGTTCGGGTCATGGTGGAGGATTTGGAGCAGGAGGAGGCGTCGGTGGTGGTGCAGGAGGAGGTGTAGGAGGGGGTGGTGGCTTTGGTGGTGGTGGTGGAGGTGGTGTTGGAGGAGGATCAGGTCATGGTGGTGGGTTTGGAGCTGGGGGAGGTGTAGGTGGGGGTCCAGGAGGAGGCATTGGTGCAGGAGGTGGTGGAGGCGGAGGTGGAGGAGGTGGTGGTGGTGGAGGTGTTGGGGGTGGTTCAGGTCATGGGGGAGGCTTTGGAGCCGGAGGTGGTGTAGGAGGAGGTGGTGCAGGCGGTGTAGGAGGAGGTGGCGGAGGAGGAGGCGGTGGAGGTGGTGGCGGCATTGGAGGTGGCCATGGTGGTGGGTTCGGTGCAGGTGGTGGTGTAGGAGGTGGAGCTGGTGGTGGTGTTGGAGGTGGAGGAGGATTAGGAGGAGGTGGTGGCGGAGGTGTAGGTGGCGGCTCAGGTCATGGTGGTGGGTTTGGCGCAGGTGGAGGTGTTGGAGGTGGTGCTGGTGGGGGTGTAGGAAGAGGAGGTGGTGGAGGAGTTGGAATTGGCATTGGCATTGGCATAGGAGTAGGAGCAGGAGCTGGTTCTGGTAGTGGCTCCGGCTCTGGCAGCGGCGGTGGTGGCGGTGGACGGTAGTGCTTATGTCTTTGAATTGGTCCTTTGCCTACATGATCGAGTATGTGGTCATGTAATTGTAATTCTTCGTGGAAGTTGTTATTGTCAGTTTTTCAATTTACTATTACTACTACAAAGTTGTGTTCCCTAATAATAATCAGAGGGCGTGTTTGCTATTTATAAAAATTCATCATTTTTCTATCATCTTCTTCGTTCTATTCCAAAGATCAATGGTGCATAGTGACAAATATCTGTGTTGTTGTCAAATCCAATTAAGGAAAAATACAAAATGCAGAACATAGAATGATATGATGTGATCTACATCTACCAACATTTTTTTGTTACAAGGTATCTACAACTTCCATCAACCTATTCTTCGTTGGCTTTTGCTAGTCTGTTTGTCGACGCAAAGAGACGATTTGCGTCAGTAAGGGGAGCGGGGCAACAAAGGTGCAACACAAAAAGTTAGCATCGGGGCATATTGTAAGATTTAGGGCTTGAGAGATGGAAGAAAACAGATGGAGGAGGCAAGGGATGAGAGAGAATAGGGGAAATGTGAAATGACCAAAACAACATCATTTTGAATTCACTAAATTTTTTATAAAGAAAAAATCTTGTCCATAAAAATTTAAAATTTTATACATGTCACTTATCTAGCACTGTGTTGAGAGAAATTAAAAAGAAAGAATAATGAAGGGGATCCGAATATGAGACCACTATAAACCTAGTTTGTTACCGGTACTCAAGTATGGTTCAAATTTTCGGACCTTGTCACGGGTCATGGATTGATGTCAATTGATTTGATGACAACAACTTAGACGATTAGGAGTTGACTTAAAGACATCTCACACGAGTGCGAATGAGTCTCTTAAAACTCATATTTTATCAAAAAGATGAAGTAATGTCGGAAGAAAAGGTGATGATGTACAAATTAGTCTGATGTACCACCGGTCAAGTGAGTAGCAATTAATGTAGTAATTGAATAAAGAGATAATAACTTAAGTAAGACAAAGATTTGGAGTGACTCGCTCAACATGACATACGTCTACTATAAAGAGCTATAGTCTAGGTATTTTATTACTTTAAGTAATGTAGGGAGAACAATGAGATACAAGCTATATGAGATAGGGATGAGAGTAATAGCAATGTGTGCAATTGAGTGTGATGCTCCCTAAGTTTCAACGGATGAGGCATTTACGATCCTCTCCATAAGATCCGATTAAAGGATGACGTGATAATTAACTCTTTTCAAGGCGGTGTGGTTGAGACTCTTGGATGACCCTGCTTACTCCCTTGGCGATGTAGCTCCTCGAACCTTGATTAACTTGACCGGACGTGAATCCTTTTCGGCTAGACTTACTAGATCTCTTTAATTTGGGCTCTTAATTTAAACTAGACTCATAACATGGGTTGAGCCCTTGGGTTTAACCCATCAAAAGGTGCTCACTTGGCCTAGGTGTATCAATATCAGCTGAAATCTATTGTCATTTTCTATTTTTCTTTTTGTCCAACATTTCAAACGAATCATTTGGTATGATTGAGTGAATCTGTGAGTGACGCTGTAATTGACATGTCTAAATGTCCAATGAATTGAGAATCGATTATGCGAGCTTGAATCATGTATCCACAGGGAGGGGAGGAATAAATATTGGGATCGTTAGTGTAACATCCCATGGACTGATTGATCTATAAAATGGTTTGTATATATTTAAGGTTTAAGAGAAGTAGAATGAATTCCAAACCTTCCATTGGGAAAACTTTCTACTGCTAGTAACACCTATAAACTTGGAAGACATCTTTTTTAAAAAAAAAAAAAATTGGAAAACAATTGTCGATATCTTCAGCTGCATTGTTGAACTTTTAATGGAAATGGATAAACTCAAAGAGATCAGTCTCTTTGGAAAGTCACTGCAGATATGATAATTTAAACAAGAAAGTAGATGCATATGGTCCATCATTGTGGCCTACATACTTTATGAATGAGTTCAACTTTTATATCTTCCAACTATTTAAGGACGTATCATTATGGGGCTTATTGAATTCTCATCTACCAGTGAACAGTTTGTCTTTGGATATTGTACAAGGTGTAATAAACTATCCCATTCTTCCCACTGACACCACCTATTATGCCTCGTAATCGAGTCAAGTTTTTCAAATTCAATTTATTTTGATCTCAGTTTAGACTCGACTCATTTTTTTTAAATACATCGAACTTAAGTAATTTTTTATATTCATTTAAAAAAACAAGCCAAAATAGCTCGGCTCGAGTTCACAAGACTTAGCTCAGTAATGCGTAAAATAATCAAACTATTCAAACTCGATTTGTTTTCAACTTGGTTCATGCATGAACCGTTTTCTAAACAAATTGAGTTTGAACATTTTTTTGTGTTCGTTTAAAAAATTAAGCTCGACTGACTAGGCTCGAGCTTATAAAACTCAGCTCAATTATCAGCTCTACTTACAGCTGTGTGAATATTTCAATTGTGTATACAACTTAAATTAGAATATTGGGAACAACCACGGTACCTCTTTTGATACAATATTGGAATTTTTATACCTTTTCAACGCCAAGTTATAACATTTTGATGGTTTAATTAGTTACAAACGGTGATTTGTTCAATATGTCATTCATTTTGGGGCACGTGGCTAGCACATATAGAGAAACGATTAAAAAATATAGACAATATCATGCGTGAGAACCACTTAAAAACAATTTAAATACATTAGAGACTAATGCGGTATTGTTACTGATGATACTCAGAATGATTCTCGAGCAGGAGTTCGGGAACGGAGGTCAAACATGGAGGTCAGGTATGCTGAGCTCAGAAAGTCAGAGCTATGCAGAGCTCAAAAAATCAGAGCTAGAGTTCTCCTCAAACGAGATAATAAGCTGAAGCAATGAGGAAGCAATTAGATACTACAAAGAACTCTACAGGCAATTTGAAGTAACACTCAAGGCACAAAATCCTCAATCAACCAAGATACTCTTCTAAGATCAAGGAGAATTCCTCAGATAGATGGCAAGAATCACGAATCAGATCTCAAAAATTAAGGGTCACCCCTATAAATACCATGTAACGCCCCCATCAGAAGGGGGAACCGAATGACCAAAAACCTATTCTGTAAATCTTTGGTGTGATCAATAAAGAAAAAGGAGTCATAGCCTCCATTGAAGAGTGGATTAGTTGAGCTCCCTAGTCGACGAACCACTATATTTCCTCTGTGTTAATCTTTCAATTCTCGGAGAACCTTAAGCACCATTCCCTGGAGCCAAGTGGTTCAGACGTTAATAATCAAAATATTGTTTATCCCATTGACTCATTACCACAAAACTGTTTCGTCATTGATTTGCACCATCAGTTTGGCTCCGCTGTGGGAACGACTGTTCCTGTTATAAATAAACTGATCTTTTAGTGACTGATGGTATCAACACGAAAATGAGCCGAAGTCAGACAAATTCACCACGGATGCAAGATCAACAAAAAGCTACTAATAGCAGACAACCTGAGAACGTCCAAGAGACCAATGCACCCGTGGGGGGGTCTCCCCATAAATAACGAGATGGAGGTCATTCGCTTCGTCAATCAATGCTTGCTGAAACAAAACGAAAAACTCTTAAAACTCTTACAACGCCCACAGAAGGGGCAACATGCTAAAGAAGGCCAGAACAACTCATCACCTAGGGAGCAACCACACCTCAACCCCCTTAGAGAAGTCAACGAAGAAGGGAAAAACAGTCAAACCATGGGGCCAGAACCTCGCATACCCTCCCAGGAATGGACACAACGAAGAAGTACAAAGTCAGAATGACGGGGGCGAGAGGAACGATTTTTTCCCCTATCAACAGGAAAGAAGAGAACGCTACTGAGAGCAGCGCTTCCAGGGTATCCAGCAAGAACTCAGCCACATGAAAGAAGCCGTGAGAGGCAAGACTCCAATTACGATGGATGTCTTAGTATAACAAAACTGAATCTCCGTTCACCACTAGTGTGCTGCATTTTTCCCTCCCTCTGAAATTTAGAGTACTGCAGATAGAGGCTTTTGATGGAATAAAAGATCTCATAGATCACCTCAACACTTACAAGAACCAGATGGAGTTGCATAGATATCAGAATCTAGTGCGCTGCAGAGCCTTTGCCATTACGCTGAAAGGCTCAGCCCTGGCGTGGTTCAATAGGCTCTCCCCTACCTCAATTTCCTCATTTAAGGAGTTATCCATATCCTTTGTATCTCACTTCATAGGAGCTCGAACATACAAAAAGCTGAGTTACCACCCGTTGAATGTGAAGCAGGGACCCCAAGAGAACCTCAGATCCTATATTCAGAGGTTCAACTCTGAATCACTAAAAATGGATGTCCCAGAAGAGAAATTTGTCATTACTACATTCATAGCTGGTTTAGGTGTACAATCTAAAGACCTGATGTTCTCTATTTCAAAAAATCTCCAGGCCAGCATGACCGAAGTACTAGCCAAGGCAGAAAAGTATATAAACGGCAAAAAAGCTCTCCTCTCAAAAGTGGGGAGCTCATCCATGCAAAAAGACAAAGGAAAAGAAGAGAAAAAGAGGGACTAAAATCCCAGAAGAGAAAAAGGACGAGATAAGTCCCCAAGGAGAGACAGAGATCGATCCCCCAAACGAAGAGGAGACGTCAGAAATCGCTTAGGACCACCTCATTCAGAGTTGCAGCCGAGGTAAGCATCACGGCAGGTCCCTCCACTCACCACAACAATATCGTGAATCTTGTATGAGGTACAAAACAAAATATTCTTGAGATGACTACCCCAGATGAAAGCAGACTTAATGAAATTTTTACCCCACTCCTAGAATGTATAACATCTTAGAAAATTTTTTTCAGTAAGTTTGTCCTGTAATATGATTATTAATAAAACAGTAAGTTTGTGGTTCATTCACTCTTACGAAGAGCCCGGGAGCTCACGACGAACTCGTTAGTTCATAAAAAGAACCCTGGAGTTCATGACAAACTCATTAGTTTGTAATAAGAGCCCTAAAGCTCACAACGAACTCATTAGTTCGTAATAAGAGCCTTAGAGCTCATGATGAATTCGCTAGTTCATAAAAAGAACCCTAAAGCTCACGACGAACTCATTAGTTCGTAATAAGAGTCCTGAAGCTCACGACAAACTTATTAGTTCGTAATAAGAGCACTAGAGCTCACGACGAACTCATTAGTCCGTAATAAAAGCCTTAGAGCTCATGATGAACTCATTAGTTCATAAAAAGAGTTCTAGAGCTTACGATGAACTCCTAAGTTCATGTAAACGAGCTCAATAGATCACGATGAACTCTTAAGTTCATGAAAACGAGCTCAAAAGCTCACGATAAACTCTTAAGTCCATAAAAATGAGTTTAATAGCTTGCGATGAACTCCTAAATTCATGAAAACGAGCTCAATAGCTCACGATGAACTCCTAAGTTCATGAGAACGAGCTCAGTAGCTCACAATAAACTTCTAAGTTCATAAAAATGAGCTTAGTAGCTCTCGATGAACTCCTAAGTTCATCACAATGAGCTCGACCACCTACGGTGGGGAGTTTAAAAAGAAAAACTCTTTCAGAAGAAGTTGCAGAACCATGAGGTCTACAAGTCCAACATCCNCTCGACCACCTACGGTGGAGAGTTTAAGAAGAAAAACTCTTTCAAAAGAAGTTGCAGAACCATGAGGTCTACAAGTCCAACATCTTGAAAAACCCAGACAGTTCTCAAGTCCAGAATTGAACTCAACAGCCTTATTCCCACTAAAGATAAAGCTGTGTCAGACACCCCCAAGCCTTCAAGAATAAGATCGCTTTAAGCTCCATGCCTCTCAGTTCACCACAACCTAAACTCGACTGCATAAACCTACAGAATCGCCAAAGCTAGCATAAAATGCAGGGAGCAGCTGGTTATGAGATTTACCACTTACTCTCATCCAATAAGCTCAAGTATGAAACTCTCAATGCATTCTTGCTTCAGGAAAAGCTCAACACTCCTTAAAACAAGGAGGACAAGGGAATACTAAAGTAAAAACGCACAGCTAGAGCACATTTGAAATCGCTGATTGGGAAGCCATTACTGTTATATTATAAGTCCAGCCCTTGCCCAAGCCAGCTCGGCTAAGAGCTGGGAGACAATTGATGATACTCAGAATGATTTCCGAGCAGGAGCTCGGGAACGGAGGTCAAACATGGAGATCAGGTATGCTGAGTTTAGAAAGTCAGAGCTATGCAGAGCTCCCCTCAAGTGAGATAATAAGCTGAAGTAATGAGGAAGCAATTGGATACTACAAAAAACTCTACAAGCGGTTTGAAGTAACACTCAAGGCACAAAATCTTCAATCAACCAAGATACTCTCCTAAGGTCAAGGAGAATTCCTTGGATAGATGGCGAGGATCGCGGATCAGATCTCATAGATTAAGGGTCACCCTATAAATACCATGTAACGCACCCATCAGAAGGGGGGACCGAATGACCAAAAACCTATTCTGTAAACCTTTGGTATGATCAATAAAGAAAAATGAGTCATAGCCTCCATTGCAAAGAGAATTAGTTAAGCTCCCTAGTCGGTGAACCACCATATTTCCTCTGTGTTAATCCTTCAATTCTCAGAGAACCTTAAGCACCATTCCCTGGAATCGAGTGGCTCAGACGTTNCAAAGAGAATTAGTTAAGCTCCCTAGTCGGTGAACCACCATATTTCCTCTGTGTTAATCCTTCAATTCTCAGAGAACCTTAAGCACCATTCCCTGGAATCGAGTGGCTCAGACGTTAATAATCAAAATATTGTTTATCCCATTGACTCATTACCACAAAATTGTTTTGCCATTGATTTGCACCATCAATTATAATGTTGGAAAACAAAAATGAAAGAGAGAGATACTTTGGGTATCGTTGCCACAATTTTTAGATCAAGTAGATAATGATTTGTCTAATACACCCTTCATTTGAGAGCACGGGGTAGCACAGGCAAAAAATGTTAAAAATTTAAGCAGCGTATGCGAACCACTTAAAAACGTATGTAATACATCATAGGTTTATGTGATACAATTATAATATAAGGGATAAAATGACATGGAGTGCAAACTTCGGGAACTACCTCTGCAATTAACTCTTAGTTTTAACGGATTTATGTTATATTTAATCGAGTTTAGTTTGATTAATTATTTATAATTAAATCTAAGAATAATATTAAATAGATTTGAAATTTAAATTTAATAATCTCACCTATTGAATAGATAATGAATCGCTAATAAATACTAGAATTCACAATAAAATTAATAATTATAATTATTAAATTTAATTTTTAAGTCTACGTATTAACTCTACGTAACATTGCTTTTACTCTAATGGACGTACATGTTTATCGTTTAAATAGTATGTCGGCCGAACATGCTCTCTTTTTTTCGTGAACTGGCTATTCCTGCACTTTTTCAGGATAGTGTAAACCTGCATCCAAACATAACGAATTCGGCAGATTATCAAGCAGATCGTCCGTGATTCAAAAATCAAAACTGACCCCTCCCCACCACCCNCATCCAAACATAACGAATTCGGCAGATTATCAAGCAGATCGTCCGTGATTCAAAAATCAAAACTGACCCCTCCCCACCACCCACTCACTCTGTCTCTCGCTCTCGGTTTTAGGGTTTTAGTGCGGAGAAGATGATACAGCTTCTGTTCATGGTGATGTTCGCCGAAATGGCGCTGATTCTGATCCTACTGTTCAAGACACCGCTGAGAAAGCTCGAAATCATGGCCTTGGATCGCTTGAAAAGAGGAAGAGCCCCGCTTGTAATGAAGTCCGTCGCTGCAACCGTCTTTGTCATCATGGTATACACCGTCTACACCATCAGGGACATCCACAGCCGTCCGTTAGAAGCTATAACTCCCACCGATCAGGTCCTCATGGCCAACCACATGCTAGAAGCCTCTCTAATGGGTAATAAACTTTTTCATTTTGGTTTACGTTTNAACCACATGCTAGAAGCCTCTCTAATGGGTAATAAACTTTTTCATTTTGGTTTACGTTTATTTTCATCAGAAAATATGCATTTTGATTTATTAGACTTGACTGATTGAATTATGCTAGCTACATGAAGTTGGTTTATGATAATTTGGTATGATTTTCGTCGAGTGCTTATTGTTTGGAAAGTGGTATGTGATGAATTGATTTAAATGTAAATTATTTTAACCGAATAATTACCGGAATTTCATGAAGTAATAGTCTGAAATTTTTGTTTGTCATCAAAGTTGTTCTGTTATTGTGGACTATGATCAAAATGAGGTTAAATGTTTTCTATGTGCAGAAATATTTATATATATACTACATTAATATGTATGCATAGGTCTGTTAGTGTATATAAATTAGTAGTTTACATGTTTGGAATATTGACATTTTGGAGTAGGTTCATTTGTAGATGTATGTCAGAATACTTTGGTTCGAGTATTCACTTATAAATTAAGGTTATACTCATCTTAGTGGACTAGTTTTTAATCACTCAAAATTTGAGGCAACTCTCATAGGATTAATTATGATTTCTGGAAATCTAGAGGGAAAGATTAATCCCTAAATTTGAAACA